GTATAACCTGTCATAAAAGTTATAGTTCATGAGTAAGTATAACCTGTTGTAAAACTTACAGTTCATAAGACAGTACAACCTGTTGTAAAACTTACAGTTCATAAGACAGTGTAACCTGTTGTAAAACTTACAGTTCATAAGACAGTACAACCTGCTGTAAACTTACAGTTGATAAGACAGTACAACCTGTTGAGAAACTTACAGTTCATAAGACAATATAATCTGTATTTCATTAAGAACACTAAAGGTAATAACATGATTGTTTAAATTCTTAATTTCTAGTTGTAATAACTGGATCTTCAAATCTATCAAACCTTTTATTTCTGACTTTGATTAACAATTACTAATCTTTCAATGCTGAAGAAGTTAATTTTTTTTGCAACATCCATAAATCTCAGAGGGAGCAGTTTTTCTGTTGATAACAAACTATTTTTGACTTTAAAATGTGACTTCTACAATAATCCGAATGCTAAATTTAACATATTTAATTACTATCTAGAAATTTTCAAGCTTAATCTTGCCCTTTAGGGTCAGTCTATTTTAATGTAGTATTAAAAACATTTTACAAATACAACTACTTAGGGAGAAAAATTAACATTTTTAAGTTTCAAAATTTCAGACCAAATTATCAATTGATAATTTTGAATTTGATAACTTTTTTTCCAACATACATTGCAGTTTCATTATATTTTTAACTCTTATTTTTGTTCTAATAACACTGATCACTTGGGTTAAGAAGCAAATGTAATGATACCTGAACTGTATAGCTGATTATTGATCTGGTATATTCCAATATAAAACAAAACCAGACCTAGAATGTCTGGAATATACTTTGACATATCTGGCAATTATTAATGCCAGATCTGGAACATAGGAAGATTGATGTGTAAAACCATTTGAAAGTAGTATACACACACACTCAATATTTTAGAAATAGATCAACAAGAAATGTTTGGACAAACACATGGTCACAGGTAACGATACACACAGATAAATCCATATCTTCATGATAATTTTATATTGTTCAAAAGTTCCAGTGTAATGCTACTTTGTTAAAAAACAGAAGTGAAAAAAGAAAATTTTTATAGGTACCGTGTGTGGTACAGGACAGTACTGTGTGTAGGGTGTGTGGTACAGGACAGTACCGTTTGTTATCTGTATGGTACAGGACAGTACTGTTTGTTATCTGTGTGGTACAAGACAGTACTGTTTGTTATCTGTGTGGTACAGGACAGTACCATTTGTTATCTGTGTGGTACAGGACAGTACTGTTTATCTGTGTGGTACAGGACAGTACTGTTTGTTAGCTGTGATGTGTTAAAGGACAGTAACATTTGTTAGCTGTGTGGTACAGGACAGTACTGTTTGTTAGCTGTGTGGTACAGGACAGTACTGTGTGTAGGGTGTGAGGTACAGGACAGTACTGTTTGTTATCTGTGTGGTACAGGACAGTACCATTTGTTAGCTGTGTGGTACAGGACAGTACTGTTTGTTAGCTGTGTGGTACAGGACAGTACTGTTTGTTATCTGTGTGGTACAGGACAGTACTGTTTGTTAGCTGTATGGTACAGGACAGTACTGTTTGTTAGCTGTGTGGTACAGGAAAGTACCGTTTGTTAGCTGTGTGGTACAGGACAGTACTGTTTGTTATCTGTGTGGTACAGGAAAGTATTGTGTTTAGGGTGTGTGTTAAAGGACAGTAACATTTGTTAGCTTTGTGGTACAGGACAGTACTGTTTGTTATCTTTGTGGTACAGGACAGTACCATTTGTTTGCTGTGGGGTACAGAACAGTACTGTTTGTTATCTGTGTGGTACATAACAGTATCTTGTGTTAGCTGTGTGGTACAAGACAGTAGCATGTGTTATTTGACCTCCTTAGTTTATATGTAAATTTTGTTGAAATTTCAGTTTTATTTCAGTTCAGTTTGGAATGTAGAGAGTTGCTCAAGTAATCATCTATCCTAACTTTTCCTTATTCTAGCCGTTCACTAATTGGACATTAGTCATATTCTCTTGCAGGATGATAGTGCATGATGTCAAAGGACAGAAGGCCATCTTTTCTGTCAGCGAACTAGCTAATGGTATAGGAGCTGTCCCATCCTTGCACTTGAATAGCAGTGGTTTGTTTGTTTGCTTGTTTTAGAGGAAAGTCACATTGGGCTATCTGCTGTGTCCACCACTGGGAATTGAACTCTGAACTTTAGCATTGTAAGACCGAAAACTTACAGCTGTCTCACCGGGAGACAAACAGCAGTGGACAAGGATTACGTGCAGGGGCAGAATAATATGAGCAACCTGGCTCTGTTATTATTGAATATTTAGTATTAAAAGACAGATTCTTCTCTGTTGAATATTTAGTATTAAAATATAGATTCTTCTCTGTTGAACATTTAGTATTAAAAAGACAGATTTTTCTCTGTTGAATATTTAGTATTAAAAGACAGATTCTTCTCTGTTGAATATTTAGTATTAAAATACAGATTCTTCTCTGTTGAATATTTAGTATGAAAAGACATATTCTTCTCTGTTGAATATTTAGTATTAAAAGACAGATCCTTCTCTGTTGAATATTTAGTATTAAAGACAGATTCTTCTCTGTTGAATATTTAGTATTAAAAGATAGATTCTTCTCTGTTAGGCAGATTTTTGATTTACAGCTTTGTTATGTTTTATTAATGTAGTTTTGATTTTCATTTAGAGAATTTCATTTGACTTTGTTTAACTTTAAAAATATCTTGTTTCATTGTATTTCAGTTTAACATTCTTTTTTTTTATTCTTTAGCTTACAGGGCTAGTAAGAGTTTCTTTTTTACACCTTTTTCTTGCCAGAGCAACACACCCATTATAAACACCTACTTTTCATTTCGTTGTGTTTTCATTGTTTTTGTTTATTAAAGATTGTAGTTTTTACATTTTTGTGTTTTTACTCCATTTTTAAATGAACTGAAAGTAATGGACCTATTATGTACAATATATTATTTGTTGAACATCCTGACAGCAGGCCTTGTTGACTGCATTATGGAAAATTTGTGCACAAGAGTATACCACATGTGTAATGGAAAGGACAAGACAAGAGACTGATTAGTCTACTAGAATATTACAGCAAAAGTATTGCTTTGAATGTTGGGTAACTACAGATATGTAATATTAGGCCTAGTTTCAACTATGAATGTTGGGTAACTACAGGTATGTAATGTTAGGCCTAGTTTCAAATATGAATGTTGGGTAACTACAAGTATTCAAGGACTGACACATAATAGTAATAAGAAGCTCACATATCCAATCTTTAACCTCCTTCAAAACTCTTGGATAAATATTATCTGGCCCATGAGACTCGTCGTTTTTTATGTTCCCTATTTTTTCTTAACCAGCTCTGACTTAATGCAGTCATCTTGTTTGATCTCATTTCATTTAGTTATTTATGTTAGTAAGATTAATGTATCTTGGTTAAACTACAAATAGACTAAGAATTTAATACATGTGAAGGACATAATAAAAGTTAGAATAATGAGATAAATATTTTGACTTTCATTCTGTACATCTTAACTATATTTTAGCAAAGATCAGTTAGTAATAGTTAATAATATTATTACAAGTATGTAGCAGGAAATAGTTTTCAATATCTCGTTAAACTTATGGTAGTTTTGAAAATTCACTGGAGAAAGTTTTGTATGGATAAGCCTGTAAAACTTCATTGTTTTATATATATAAACTTGGAGAAGTGGAGCTCAGGCATGGTTTTTGCTTTTACAATTTTTGAGTTTCTAAATTGATTTGTATAAATCACGTAATGTGATTATTTTTTAGTAAATTTTTACTTTCAAAATAGAGAAAAATGTTCATGTAGTTATTCATCACTAATATACAGGAATTTTTTTTTTTTCTATTACAATATTTGTACTAGAGACATAGAAAGAAAAAAATTAAAAATTAATTAGAAGTTACAAGAATTAGAAGAAATACAAAAAACAGAAGAAATACTGGAAAATTAAAGATATTGGATGTATTATAATAAAAAACAGTTTGTTACTATATGAATGGTATTTTGTATTTGTTTATGCTTCTGCATACAAGCTTATTAATGTTAACTACGATGTGGAAATCAGCCTTTAACATTCTTAAAATTTTAAAGGGACATAAAGGAGCTTATTTGCCCACAAAGGATGTCCCTTCCCTCTCCCAACTATAACCACCCCTTATTACGTATGTATTCATTCAATCTTTTCTTGAACTAAGTTAAGTTTTCTGCCTCCACCACCCTCAAAGGCAGCTCATTCCAAAAGCCAACCACCCTGTTTGAAAAGTAATACTGTCTACAATGCAGACGACTCCAACGCTGCCAAAATCTGAATTTATGATCCCTGTTTTCACTGCTAAACACAAAAACGTTTAATGGATCTATATTATCAATACCCTTAATAATCTTAAACACTTCAATCAAATCCCCTCTGACCTTTCTCTTCTCCAGAAGAAAATGTTCAATATATGGTTTTTATATCAATATTTCACATACAAATAACAACATTTGATAGTTTGTACTCAACAGACTTGGCATATTTGACAGTTAGATCTGTTTAACGAATATTAGTTTTCAGATTTGTCATTTTTATAAGAATTTCTTGCACCAGATGGAGATCATAAGAAGAGATTGATTTTATTTGTGGATAAAATATACTTTACAAATTCCCTATACACAAATTGATTGTGAAATGTTACCTTTAAATCTAAATGTAATTTGAATCACACAACTGTAGCACAAAGTACCTAAAGAATACTACAAGTATCCCTGATAATGGTACTGTGTTACTGACACTAGTCAGCTGAAATATGTAATATAGGTTTCATCTTTCAATGTGCTAAAAACATTTTTGTTTTTTACTGTTGATATAGTATTTTATGTTTGGTATCTTATGTACTGCACACTTAGATAATTTAACCATATTGCACTAATTATCACATACTTGGTTACAAGACTTATCTTCTCCTACTGAAACCTACCTTACTGTTTCCAACTCGAATGGCTCGGAATTTTCCAAGAAGTCCATTTCCTTTATCACTAAATGAAAGGCTATCCTCGTATTGTTCTTCATCATCATCATCAATTGCACAACTCTCTGCTGACGGAAGCTCACCTTCCTTACTGGAACTTGACTGGACTAACTTCATGTACCTGTATTCAAGCCTTAAAAACAAAACAAACATAGCACTGTCAACTGATGACATGTAAATTAACATGATCTGTGGTCCTTTAAAAAAAGTAATTATGCAACCAAATGAAAGGAGGTAAAGATATGACAATGACATCATTCTCTTATATAAATGTAAGTCAAGATTTATTTGTTTGTCTAAAAATAGTTTATAAGAAGGAGCATGCAAAACTTGGCAATACTAAGTTCAAAATTCATTTGTTTGTCTAAAAAAATAGTTTATAAGAAGGAGCATGCAAAACTTGGCAATAGTAAGTTCAAAATTCATTTGTTTGTCTAAAAAATGGTTTATAAGAAGGAGCATGCAAAACTTGGCAATACTAAGTTCAAGATTTATTTGTTTGTCTAAAAATAGTTTATAAGAAGGAGCATGCAAAACTTGGCAATACTAACTTCAAAATTCATTTGTTTGTCTAAAAAATGGTTTATAAGAAGGAGCATGCAAAACTTGGCAATACTAACTTCAAAA